AGAAAATGATTCGTTATCAAAAGCCTAGGCGAATTGAGCTAAAAAAAACTGATCTTGATGATGCAGAAGAGATTAGAAAAGAGATTATTTTGCTGTCAAAAAAAGAGGAAGAGAGTTTTTTGCGACCAACTACAACAGATACTTTAGAATCTAACCAAAAAGTAAAACGTGCAGAAATACGAAGACGACTTGGTTTTACACCTGAAATGCTGCCCAGTGATGGTAACTCAGAAATGCACTTCTAATTTAAAAGTTTCTCTTTTTTTGAATTGACATTACAAATGAAGCTTTTTAAAGTTTTAAAGATTTGTTTTAAATAAAACGATTATTTATTATAAAAATGTGTAAGAGTACAAAATTTTTTAATTTTTTATGAGGACATTTTTATACATTGATGTGTTTCTGCATATATATATATATATATATATATATATATATATATATATATATATGTATATATATATATATATATATATATATATATATATATATATATGTATATATATATATATATATATATTTTTTATATATATATATATATATATATATATATAAGTACATATAAATATATATATATAAGTACATATAAATATATATATATATATATAAGTACATATAAATATATATATATATATATATACATATAAAAATGTATATATATATATATATATATATATATATATATATATATATATATATATATATATATATATATATATATGTACATATAAATATATATATATATATACATATAAATACATATATATATATATATATATATATATATATATATATATATATATATATATATATATATATATATATATATATATATAAGTACATATAAATATATATATAAGTACATATAAATATATATATATATATATATATATATATATATATATATATATATATATATATATATATATATATAAGTACATATAAATATATATATATATATATATATATATAAATTCTTGTACAGTCAAATCTAGTATGGATATAAAAGTATCCTTTAAGGTCTCTTCATTTTATGGAGCTACTAGAAAAGAATATTTGTATCAGTTGAAAAAAAAGCATCATTTAACTGAATGCAAGAAACATTCTTTGCGATATTCAACAATTTATCAGAGGAATTCATACTTTGATGAACGAATTGTTTGGAAGTGGTTTCCTCGACAACGAGATGCTTTTAATTATTGCAGTTTGACTAAAGAGAAATATCTTTGTTTGTTTACCTATGAAAAAGTTGATAGTAAGCGTAAATTTTTAGTCACATCTCACCAACAGTTTTGGAATAGATACTCTAAAATGAAATCATCTGAAAAACATTTTTATGAAGTTATAGCAGAGTCTAAACCTTGTCGCTTATATTTTGACATTGAATTTGATAAAACTAAGAATCCAAATTTAGGTAATGGTATTGAAGTATTAGAGACTTTTATTCAACTTGTTTGTTCCTGTCTTCATTCACGTTTCAAAATCACCTTAGGTCGTAAAAATGTTGTTGATTTAGACTCAAGTACTGAAAATAAATTTTCGAGACATTTAATTTTTCACCTTGGAGATAATACTCTTTTTATAAATAACATTGAGTGTGGACAATTCGTAAAATCAATATGTTTATGTTTGAGTGATTACTTAAATACTGGTGTATCAAATAGTTATTTTTCTAATGATAAGTTTGAAAGAGTTACAGAAGCTATGCCATCAATTGAAAGTTTACACAAAATAATGGTAAATAATGATGAAGGTAAAACGTTTTTATGTGATTTATCTGTTTATTCAAAGAATCGCAACTTTCGTCTTTATCTATCCAGCAAGTTTTCGAAAAAAATACCATTGACAATTGCTTCTGAAAACGTATTTTGTTTTAAAAACAAACTTACAAAATCAGAACGAAGATTTTACAAACTTCAAAATAAAACATTTGATAAAGATTATTGTCAATTTTGTGATACTTTAGTATGCCCAGATATAGATGGGAACATACGTATGCTAACTTCTGTTGGAGATGCATTACCTGTAACTAGTTCAATCAATCCAGGTATTTTTTGCCTTTTGTTTTTCAATTTGGTTATCAACAAGTTTTTCAAAAGTTTAAAATATTAAATCTAAGAATAAAATTTAACTGTAATGTTTTTAAAGGTCTTAAAGATTGCACCTTTAAAAGTCTTCTCAGAAACGAAATAGTAAACTTAAGATTTATTTTTTGTGTACATGTTTGATAGCATTTCTTAAGTACATATTTTATAGCACTTAATAATCCCGCATCTTAGATTTTTGTGTACTTAATATTTTTATAACATTTATTATGTACTCTATTTATAGTATCATTTAGTAAACATTTTCTAGTATTCCTTAAGTTAAACCAAGGCATAAAAAATTTTTTTCAACCATACTAAAAAGTAGAAGTAAAATTTTTTATTAAAATATTTTTGAATAAAACTCTTTTTTATAGAATTACATGATCTTATAATAAAATGATGAAAAAAACTTTTTCCAAAAATTTTGAGAAGAAATTTTTTTATTTTAATTTTAATTAAATAGAATAGTTTATTTTCTTCGATTAAAACAATAAACTATTATTTTAATCAATTAAAACAATAAACTTTTATTTTAATCAAATAAAACAATAAACTATTATTATTTTAATTAACTAAAATAGATTTAGTTTTATAAATAAAAAAATATTTCTGATTTAGTCTGCCTAGTAACATGTAAAGAAAGAAGATGTGATGGTTTTAAAGTATCTCCGTATCCAGACCTTGATCAGTTTGTTCTCCAACAAGCATCTATTAATAGTTTAAATGGTTTCTTTTTTTGTTTCATTCTTTTATGGCTATTTTGACAATTTATTCATTGATTTATTTGTGATTTTTATACTTTTTTGTTATGTTATAATTGTTTCATTTATTTATATGTCCAAGTTGAATTACATTTGCTTGCATCATATTCATAGCTTTTAGCTAGTCTGGAAATGAAATTTTTTTATAACTTTTTCTGGCATAGACTTTGTTAATTTGAATTATTTTTGATGCTGTTTTAGCTGCTATTTTCTATTTGTTAGAAACCTCAATTTTAGTTCAAACATTAGGTTACTTAATTTAATTTATCCTAACCTAAGTGAAGAAAGTATATTTATGTGTTTGTTTTGCAAAAAAATATTTATATCGCAAAGCAACTAGTCACTTCAACACCAAATACAAGGGCAAGATTAATGGTAAACAATTTAGTTAAGAATAAAAGAAAGCAAAAGTTATCCTTCATCTTATTAGATTTCAAAATTACTTAGTTCAGATTACAGAAAAGCTTGCTACAGATAAATGGTACCTTGCTATAAGCTGCATTTAAAAATTTTAAATTAAGTTATTTCAAATATTTCAAGAAGTCATTACAGCTTAGTTTCATTAAAAAAAAATGTAACTAATTCATTTGATGGATATGATGAAATTTTTTACCATTCTACAAAATATTTTATGAAAGAACAAGTTCTTTTTAAAACCTTAAAATTGTACTTTTAAGTTTTAATGTAGCAAATCTTGTTTCTATTAATCTGACTGATCCCACTTTTATCAATGACATTATAACATTTAAGCATGTATCCCACTACATTACTAAAAAAAATATTTTATTATGACTTAGTGGGAATGTTTTTGGTACTTCTTATCCTACTTGTGGGATCCTACTAGTGCGAATGTTTTTGGTACCTCTTATCCTATTAGTTTTAGTTCTAACATGTCTAAATTGTATCTTGAGCAGTGTTAATATTTGCTTGCTACTAAATGTGCATGATTGTCTTACACTGCATATACAAGTTTGTAGATTTTATTATGTAAAAGATAAGATGAAAGCTTCCAAGATTTAAAAAAGTCAAACAAAATTGATAAATTAAAAACATCAATTAAAAAACACCCTCAATTTTGGAACAAGGACATTAAAGAGGAAGTGAAATGACTTAAACCTATTAAAAGAGCTCATTTCACAGCCACATATTTAAAAAATATATTATTGGTATATTATTAACTTCTCCTGAAGTAGTAAAAATACTTAATGTAGTCTTCTCTGTTTAAAATTAAAGCGCTGGCTGGATGGTTTTTTTAAGTTAGCCTGCGCGATTTTCATTTTGCTGCTTTTTAAATTAAAATTAAAATAGCAAAAAGAATGCTTTGAATAAATACTAGATAAATATTAAAAAAAAAACTAGTAAAAAAAAGCATTTTTCATAAAAGTTGAACAAATGAACAAAATAATTTTGTTGCAATTTAAAACAAAATGCTTTTATTTTTTTGGCAAGTGCTTTTTTATGCGCTCGCCAAAGTTTTTGCAGGCGGGAAGGCAAACGCGAAAAGACTTAAGCATAAAAGCGCTGGCTAAAAGGAGAAGACTGTTAATGTATATTTAATAGTTTTATAGTGTAATAACTTTATAATTAAAAAGCAATGTAAGATTGATTAATAAAAATGATATAATTGTCTTTTTAATTTTAAAATAATAATGACACCACTAATATTTAACATATGTTTTATAAAAATAAAATAAATATTTAGTTTTAAACAAATCTAATAACATTATCTTGTAAATATAATAACTTATTACTTAGGCAACAAGTTTAACATTCCTTAATAAAAATAGTGTCAACTTTATATGCTCAAAAATAAGTTTAGATAAAATACAAAAGTCACATTCTTTGTCTTCATAGAACATATATACAATATGGTTCCACAGTATAAACATATCATCATTCTACATATATATTTTTTTATCTGTACTCTTAGGTGCTTAATTTATGGAGGGAGGGGACAATTTTTTTAGGGGAGAGGAAATTTTGCCCACCCACAGTGTTCAAAAGCACTTAAAATATGGCCAAAATACAATTTTTTGAGTCACACAATTTAAATGATGTTATTAGCTAATTATTTTTTACAGTTACTTGTGATTCTAATAGTATAAAATATAAATACTGAAATAATAGGTTTAAACGTTAATATATGTTAGAAAGTGACCAAGACGAAAAAAAAAGGTTTTTTAATTTTTTAAAATAAAAAAACCTTTTTTTATTTTAAAAAATTAAAATAAAAAAAGGTTTTTTATTTTAATTTTTTAAAATAAAAAGGTTTTTTATTTTAAAAAATTAAAATAAAAAACCTTTTTATTTTAATTTTTATTACATACGAAGATAATAGATAATTCGATTTTAGTTTATTAAAATATTTGAATATGTATTTTTACAAGTTTTAAAAAATGCAATTTTATAAATTTATGCTGATTTTTAAGGAGCCAGGACTTTTTACTTTCAACTTCCTTCATAAAGCCAATTCTTTTTTTAGCTCCCTCAACTTGTCTCATTTTGAAATAATATGATTTTTTTTTAAAAAATTAGAGAGGTAAAAGCTAACTTGACGTAAATTAACTTTAATTTTTATGTTTTGAGTTTTGACATGTCTAAACTAAACCTTTTAATGTGAATATATATATATATGTATATATACATCCCTCGGTGAATGAGTGCAAGAGCAGAAAAAAGCTCTCCTAAAACAAACACAGTGAGCCATGTGAACTGCTACTCTAAACAGCTACTTGTGAGAGCTTTTGGTTTTGCACAAGCTATCTGTTTATTCATTAAAAAAATTACTTATTAAATAAAAAATTCGGCTTTATACTTGTTACAAACATATCTTTGTAACGTTAATGTTACAAGAATATATACATAACAAGGGTCATTTATTGAGCTGTGAAAAAATTCTTCAGAAAACTAAAAGACAACGCTTGAAATGCATTGACTTTTAGTTTTCACACTAGCTATCCATTTATTTATACAACATTACTTGTTTATAAAAAATTTGATAAAGAGCTATAAAAAATATTTTATATTTTCTTATAATAGAAATTTGAAGAATTATTACAACAATTAAAAATTCGACAATAAAAGTGAATAAATAAAAAAGTAATTAATATATAAAATATATAATTTATACAAAAAATAAAAATTTTTATGCAATAATTTAGAGTGTAATTTTATTTTTTTTATCAGTTTTAACTAATTTTATCATAGTTATAAGAAAGATATAGTCTGGAAGCAAACAATAGTGCATTGTTTTAACTCCTTCATACTGTTTTTTCTTGTTTACGGACTTTCAAACCTGCACAGTAAGGTTGTTGTTGTTAGCGTTTGCCTGTTATTTTTCAAGTTGTTTTTGTGTTTTCATTGAAGTTGCTTTTTTTATTGATATGCTGGGTAAAAATTGTGCAATATTTGGTTGTTCAACTTCTAGAAGATACAAAGGTATCAGTGTTTTTAAAGTACCTACTTCAACTAATGATGCAAATAAAAAATGGAGTAATGACCTTATTAAAGTAATTGTTCAAGACAGACTTATTGATGATCCTTTAAAAGAATTTCAATTCTTTCAACCTATATATTTGCAAACTTCACTTTAACGAAGATCAATTTTGGGTATATTCTTCACAAAAAACTTTTAAGAATGGAGCATTGCCAATATTAAACCTTCCTAAGAAAAGTAATCGATTGCAGCGAAGTTCGCTATTCATTACAAAACGTGAGGAAATTGAATCAAGAGTTGATTTCTCAAACTACAATGCCATGTTACAAATCTTTTGATAATTTTACTATGTGTATTTTAAATCTCTCTCTCAATGATATTGGAAAATATCTTTGCATGATAAGTTAGCAATAAATTTCTTGTGATTCACCAGAACATGTTTTACCTAAGTATAAAATTTATATTGATGAGTTTCTAGATTATTGTGTATGAGTTTTTGGTTGGATGTTACCAAAAGATCATCATCTGTACCTTCAATACAAAGGGTCTTTTTTTAAATGTTTCTTTATCCAAATTTATTATTCATATTAAAACTCTTGTTGTTTGTTGAGGTATTGATGTAAAAAATTTAAATTTAATCAACCAGAATTTTAAATTTGAAAAACATGTTATACCTAAAAAATTTAATTACTTGACTTTTAAGCTGCTTTCTTATAAACCTAGTTTAAAAATCAAGATGAGTTTTATCGTTCACTTAGTTGTAGTATTTTGTTACAATCCCAGAACTGTTGTACTTCTTTGCATCTTAAAACCACTTATGAAATCAGCAATACAAAAAAAAAAAACACTTTGAATCAACCTCCAAAGCTGAATGTTCCTCTTAGACTTACTTCAACAGAACAAATTAAATAAAGTTTGCAACAACAGTGTTTAAAATGCAAACAACTGGAAAATTACATAGAAGATATGAAAACAGTTCTAAATACAGAAAGTAAAACACTTAGAACTGGACCAAGACCTAAAACATTATATCCTAGTTTTGACCAGAAAAATGTTCCAGACTTCATGAAGCTATTTTGGAATGAGCAGCAAAAGTATATTAAAGCTTCTAGTACATGTAGTATTAAGTACCATCCAATGATAATAAAGTTTTGTCTTAATTTAGCAACTAAATCTTCATCAGCATATTCTGATTTGCGTTTTGATAGTAAAACTGGCTCAGGATTTTTAGTTCTTCCAAGTTTACGCACCTTGAGAGACTACAAAAATTATATATATCCTTTAAGAGGTTTTAATCCTCAAGTCATAAATGATCTTGCAAATAAAACTGTTGATTTCTCCAGCTCTGAATACTTTGTTACTATTCTGTTTGATGAAATAAAAGTTCAAGAAGATTTAGTTTAGGATAAATACTCCAGTGAGTTAATTAGATTTGTAGATTTAGGAGATAATTAAACTAACTATGCAACACTAAAATATGTGAGAGAGATACCATCTTATGTCTTAGTATTTCACATTAAAAGTATAGT